GCGTACTAACCAGGGTGGAGGATGTAAATGGGCGTTGGGCCGGTTATGGCCAGCCCTCAAAATGAACTTTGGAAGTGTGGGCTCTTCAGGAAGTAGCCGAAGCACGGGGCGCATATGTCCTGGTCCTGCGGAGAGCCCTGTCACGTTCTGTCCAGGGCTCGGAGAACTGGGCGTTAATGGCCAAGCGCGCACGCACATCTTACCGTTTACGAGAAATGCCCCTTTCGTGAAGACCTATCTCTACGTGCTGGTTCTCCGAGAATCTCCCATTTGCATTTTAAACTGATGAGTCACTTTCTGGGGCGGAATGAGAGGTTTCAACCTCCCGCAAGAAAGTGACTTGCTGATAAAATACTGAGAAACAAACATTTCCTAAAAGAAATCTTCAGCAAGACTGCTTCGGCAAATAGCTTTTGATTAGCTGGGTCTTATCTCCAAGGTACCCACTAGTGGCCTTTATTTTTCTAAATGCTATCTTTTCTGCTTACAGTCAAATGCTTTTTCACGCTACTTACAAAAATAAATACTTGTGCTTTGCTCAGATCATAATAGCTCATTAGAGGAGGCTGATTTTGGACCCAGACTACAACTGAACACCAGAGGGCTGAGGGGGCCTCCTCGAGCCTAGTGCATTGTGAGCTCTGGCTCTCTGGGGAAGCAGGGACTGAGGACCAGGGATTCAACCTTCTTAATTGTGAACCTCATTAGTGATGGTTGCTAAGGAGAACACACACCTACCTTCAGTGCATAGGAAGGAGATAAACAGTACGTCACAGATTCTAATGACTCTGGTGCCCAGGGCGACCTTTAATTATGATATTTTTGTTCTCTTATACCTCAGTCGTTAATGTAGAAAAACAAATTAGTTTATTTTTGTGGACCACAGCAGATTCATAAATTGTCTTCCAGTTTCTAGATGTCTGAATCATACTTCACTCTGACCATCTACACACGCTTCATTCATTTTTCCTGTTGGTACACATCTGCCTGCCTCACGTGTGGCTCCTGAATTCGAGACCTCAGCGTACAGGATCTGCCTCAAAACCGTTTTTGTCTTATGGGCTCTTTGCTCCAAGAGGTTTAACCGTGTTTTGTTTGCAATTCACATTACTTTTTCAACAACAACAACTCCTATCGGTCAGGATCTCGTGATTACGGGGCAGCGTTTTAGTATAGAGGACAAGGACCTTATTTTAAAGGCTGTGGGATAAACCGTGGGGACTTGCGTGAGTGAGGGGTTTGGGGAAGGCCCTCGGCGTCTGAGTGTTTCTGAGCCCTGAGGCCATGTCTAAGACCGCTGCCCCCTGCCTGTATCACTCTTAGCAAAATTCTTCTCTTTTAACAGACAAAACAAGAAGTCAGGCACTTGGAAGCATTTGGTACGTTTTATGCGGTTTTCGTTCTCAGCCCCTTGCCCCTTCCCCCTCCCCCCCGCCCCCGGCCCACTCCATCCGGAGACGAGAACTGGTCCTCCAAGTGTGTTCTGAGCTCATGGGACCACACAACACAACCACCCACTGAGACGTGCACAGAGTGTCTGGGGATGACCTTCTGTATGGGGGCTGAGGACAGCCAAAATAAAACCAAATAAATTAAAACTGCAAGGAAAGCTCCAAGCAAAAGAAAGCTTAGAAACAAACCAGTAACGTAAAGCCCGTGGCAGGTGAAGTGAGTGAGAAGGCCTCTCCCACAACAAGAGCTGGGGCGGAGAGGGCTGGCGGCGGGGGGCTCCGGGGAGCGCCCGTGCCCCCGCCGGGGCCGTCCGACCCGAGAGGGGCACCCGGTGAGGGCGACTGGACATGACTCAACATAAAAAATGGTGCAAAGGAAAAGAAGCATTGCAAATAAAAAAAGACATGTAACATGTGCCTACCATTTTCCAGATAAGAAGGGGCCGTACCTTCTGACGGGTCTAGACGGCGGGCCCGCCGCCCGTGTTTGGAGTTGTTGTGCACAAACATGTTGTCAGACACGGCCAGCACGTGGCCGTCCACGTTGACTGTTGTCGACACAACAACCTGCAGAGACGAAGTGGACGTGAAACGAGTTGGCAAAGGGAAGCCCTGTGGCCGAGGGAACCGGCGTCCGCTCCTGGGGGGCCTCCCCCGCAGCCCTGGCTAATGGGGGGCCCATGGGCTGTTTTGTTTGGACTCAAGACTGCTTCTCTCCAAAACCTGCCCCATTTGAATCACAGTTTCATCTCCTATTATGCTAACGAGTGAGTTCAATTCAGAGAAATATTCCTCCAGCCATTAGCTTCAGAAACACCCCTCCAGCCGCTCATTTTAAAGCTGCTGTTTTGATTGATCTGTTCACATATTGATCGGATAGTTTATCTAATTAAAATGAGTTCACTTGAGACTGTCCTCCCTTGGAGCACTGTGAGGATTCAGAGTTGCCAAAAGCAGGCTTCCTAAATCAGAAGCACTCACTACCCACAGTCCGACATCCCTGGGTCGATGTTACAATTACATCCAATGTCTGCTAAGGAACTTTTCTGCATCTGAAAAGACCAAGCTGAGTATCAATGGTGAAAGTGTTGTCAATCCAAAGCAAGAATCTTTCTCAGGTTCACCAGCAGAGGACGGCAAGGACCCTGGTGCCAGTGGAATGGCCCCTTCTGCTGGACAGATGCCCTTGCCGGGGTCACCCCTGCCCAGCCCCCAGACACCTTCCCAGGTGGGCTTGTGACAAGCATCCTTTAATGGACTCCCTACCCAGCCTTAAGATCGTTCTCAAACAGAGGTGAGCCCACGCGGTCCATTATTTGCCGGACAGCCGACATGAGTCGCAAAGGCGTGAGCCCTGGTCCAGCCTGGGCCTCACAGCAGGGCTCGTGCGGCTGAAGCCCGCATCTGGGGTGCAGGGAGCCTGGCTCTTTGCCACGTGTGGGCAGCGGGGAGGGCCAGCACCACCCAGAGCAGCAGAGCCCCACACACACACAGCTGGAGCAGGAGAGGAGGGACCAGGAGGCCTCCCAGCCCACGTGTGCCCTCCCTGCCTGGTCTGCACATGCCCAAACATGCCATGTAAAATGACTACTGAAAGCCAGAGCTACAGCGGCCCTTAGTTAATAATGCATCAACCCTGGTTCATTCGATGTAGCAAATGTACCCCACCAACGCAAGACATTAACAACAGGGCCAACTGGCAGGGAGGGTGTGCCCAGGGGGATGTCCGGGAATTCTCGGAACTTTCTGTGGATTCTTCCTGAAAGCCCAACACTGCTCTTCAAAAAAAAGTCTATTAAAAAAAAAAAGAATAAAAGTGATCAAAGATTTAAAAATAAGTAGCATTTTTAAGGAATAAAAAAAGGTCGGGCACCTGGGTGGCTGAGTCGATTGAGCATCTGACTTCGGCTCAGTCATGATCTCACAGTTCGTGGGTTCGAGCCCCACGTCCAGCTCTGTGCTGATGGCTCAGAGCCTGGAGCCTTCTTCGGATTTTGTGTCTCCCTCTCTCTCTCTGCCCCTCCCCCACAGGTGTTCTGTCTCTCTCTGCCTCTCAAAAATAAAGAAAACTAATAATAATAAAAAAAAAGGTCAACACTACATACATACATATGAATACACGGGGAATTGATGGTTTTTATAAAAAACCTCAGGCCCACAAGAAAACTGTAAAGCAGGGACAGCACCCACCACATCCCCCAAAACTCCCTCATGAGGCACTTTCCTTGATGCTTCCTTCCCAGGACAGCTCTACAAGACTGCGAGAGTCTCCATAATATTGCCCCCCCCCCCCCGAGCCTTAAAACACTGTGGGTCCCGCCCTCGGCGTCCCTACGTCCAATGTCAGATGTGTCATCACCTCCTTGATAGCCACCACCCATGGGGTGGGCACCTGCCGCATCCCCAGGATGCAGGGCCACCCCGCGCCTGGGCTGTGAAGCACCTGTACCTGTATCCTCATCTAAGCACGATGCAAAGGGCCACGTAACTAACTCTGAGCCACAGACTTGACCGTCCTCAGGCTCTTAGACCATGATACGTTAAAGAAGCAAGGTAAAAATAAAAATAAAAAAAGGACAGTCTTGGCTCTGTCATCTCTATATAGGTCAGTCACCAAGGGAAAAGTGTGTAGTTCAGCAGAGGAAGCAGACAAGCTGTGTTTTGTCTCTTGGCCAGGGCCAGCCCTGCAGTATACGTACAGAAAGGTGCTGAGTTTGTGAAGCCAGCTGGAGATATTGTGTAAGCCCTGACACACTCTTAAGTCCGGTTAAACCCTCTGCAAGGCGGGGAGATGAACTAAAGAGAGCAGAGCCCATCCTTCTAGTAACTGTGGGCTCACTGGCAACGGATGGCATGGTGGCCAATGGCGAGACAACGCACGACCTCCGCTCTGCTTAGATGGGCCAGTATCACCATGAAGCCTGGAGCAAGAAGGTGGGAGCGGCCCAGATGTTTGCAAGAGACACTGTCCCCCACCTGCAGAGCATGACTGTGAACCAGCCCACAGACCCTTCTCTGACTGGCTGATTGGCTGTAAGACAAATCCACGTGTCCTAAAAGCCTGGAAGGTAAGTTAAATTTCTAAAAATGACCTTGAGCGGTTTGATGGTAAGCCATCCAATGTGGCATTCATTTCCACTCGCTGCCAGATTCTTCTCTGGTTAGTAGGGACTAACAGCACTTCTGTGTCCCAGCCCGGAATATTTTTACAATTAAATTCAGCAAGATGATCCATCATATATGGTGTACCTTTCACCCCGAAGTAACCTCCTAACCACTCAAAAGGCAAGAAAATTATGGACTCAGCGATAACCCATCCAGCTCTCTATCCTTTCTCCTGGAGATGAAGTCCTCTGAAGCAAACCAGAATATGAGTTAGCCTGCACCCAGGAACACAGCCTAGCAATCAGGCACGGGCTTAAGGAAGCAAGAACAGATCAACCCTGAGGGAAAGGAAACAGCTGGGAGAACATTCTGGAACTTGTAAGAGGCCTGCATCAAACAGGCGAGGCTCGCTTCATGAGGAGGGCCCAAAGTCTCATGCTTACCCAACAGGCTGTACTATGGCTCTGCCCTGTGAAAACTCCATCCATCCATCCCTAAAACGACGACCTTGAGCACGGGCTCCAAGTCCGAACCAGTCGTACACGACTATGTACAACTGAGGAAACAGGCTACGTTACGTACTAACACGGAGAGGACTTTGAGGACATTCTGAAATACACCTACAAGACTTACCATGGTTGAATGTAAAAGGGAACCCGACTTAACCTACAGCTCTGATAATTCCAATTTCCAGATGTCTGGAAGCCCAACACGGTGGGCAGGCACGGCGTGACCACCCTGAGAGGTGCACCTTGCAAAGCCAAGGTCCCATTTTCAGAGCCAATTTCAATTTGCCATTTAGGTATGCACAGATGCCATGAATCTGGCATACTGAAGACGCTGGATTGTTTTTAAAGCAACTCGATTTAAATCTTTTTCTCAAATGAACCGATTCTGGTTTGCTCCCAAACCCTTGGAGAACTAAAGACTGTTTTCTGAACAATCACAACATCAGAGAATTCAAATTTCACGTTAAAAGTGCGGACCACGGCCCGCGTGTCTTTGAGAAACGAGTACCTGGAATCTCCGCATATCTCGAGGGTTGCCTGCATTCTTCAAACAGTTCTGATTGCACTTGAGGAAAAACTTTAGAAAGAATCTACAAAAATACAAAAAACGGATATTTGTTAGGGTTATCAGACAAACTCACAGACTTTTAGAAAGACGCCGTTGCGCGGGGAGTAGTGAAGGCTACCCACGACCGCCCGCTGCTCGCTGCCTGCAGGGGGCGCCCGATTAGCACGGCAATGAATCGTCGCCTGCAGGGGGCGCCATCGGGAGACGACGCCGGCGGCGTGGGCAAAGGCGCCCCGGGCTCTGCCGGCCAGCGCAGAAGGTGTCCACACACACAAGCAGTGACTTACATCTGTCTTGACATTATGGGTCTCCAAGCTTTATGATAACAGCTGTGACTCGGACTGGCCATTTCTTTCCTGGACCTTTGCACGTTAAGCACTGGGGAACTGTCCGCCCCAGATGGGGCTGCCAGCTTCAGCAAATAAAAACACAGGATGCCTGGTTACATTGGCGTTTCCGGTAGACGACGAGTAATTTTTTAGGACAGGAACATCCCAAAGCACACCGATCCTAAAAAACTGCTCTTCGCCCATAACTCAAATGTAACTGGGTGCGCTCAACTTCATCTGGCAACCGTAACCCCCGAGGGCGCCACCGCCCAGCCAGACACACTTCCAAAGGCGTATTTTCGAAAGTTACAGTGGGTGCAACTCTGACGAAAAGAAAGGATTTGGGGGTGAGCTTTAAGGGCTGCGATAACGTCTGTGAAAAGTCTGTGTGTGTGTTTAGGGAACTAATCGATGATTTGGGGATACAACAATGAAACCGTGGCTCAGGGGGAGAGCGGGGAGACGCAGCCGCTAGCCTGGCTCAGAGGCAACAGCCGTTTGTACTCCCCCCACCCCCAGCCCTGCCCTTGTGCTCTGAGGCATGAAGATTCAGGGGTCCTGACAGGGTGCTGAGATGCTGTGACAAAAATCTCATCACGTTGTCCCCTCCATGCCCGCATGCTCGCTCACAACAGAAGTTCTAGCCCACCACGTGAGCCCACGGATGCTGGGAGACCTGGCTGGAGCACATACCCCGGGGGAGACTGCACCCCTCTGCCTCCGGGTACAAAGCCACGCCCACTGTGGGCGGGACGGGGGCGGGGTCTCTGTGCTGACACGCATGCTCTCTACCAGTGTCTGAGCATCCTGTCCCACAAAGTTAACCAACAAAACTCCCCTCTCCGTTCTGTCCAAATATCCCCTGTCCTACCTGAGGCTTATTAATGTTTTATGAAGTTTCACATGATTTTCTTGAACTCAGCCTTAACGGTCAAGATTTCTTGTTGACAATTATCACATCAGAAAATAAAAAGACTCCACCGACCAAGATTCATCCCTGCAGCTGCATTCCCAACGTATCCCGGACGCCTTTTCCGCGCGGAAGAAGAAAACCCAATTGATGGGAAAAAGAATCGTGGCCACTTAATTAAATTTTCTTACATACCACCAGGCCTCACTATTTTAGGCCAGAATTTACATCTTTTATTAACTCCCCTCACCTATACACTTAGCTCACAGTGCCTCTCAGTACCATCTGCCATCAGCATACAGTGAGTCACTTGATATTCCACCCACCAATTTTTCCTAACAACCACTGTGCAATTAAACTCCACGCGCTCTGCAGCGAGGTAAATTAGGCGCACCTGCGGCCACACTGCATTTGAACTGCATCAGAGAGGCCCTAACAAGGTGAGGGCGTCACAAACTTATCGTCCAGTCAGGCAATTAGGTTTTCACTTCGGGGACAGCCACATGGTGCAATTATGCCACACATTACCACCCGGCTAATCTTCTGAGCAGGTGCCGGCCTGAGAAGCTCTCATCTGGATGGAGCCGTCTGCGGGAGCTTTTTTTGCGATGCGAAAGAATTTTTTTTT